CTTTCTGCTTCAGGACCCTCCTCTGCTGATTGACAGCAGGCAGTGGGCAGATGCAATAGCCAGCCTGCTATTGGCTATTGCAATTTGAAATATCCAATCCAATAGTAGGCTGGCTATTGCTCCCAGCATTAAAATACAAAAAAAAATTAAAAAGTTTAAAAATAAATAAATTAAAAAGACAAAAAAAATTAAAAAAAAAGTAAAGAAAAAAAGTTCAATAAAAATTAAAAATGCAAACAAATAATAAAAAATTAAGTTTATAAAATAAAATAAAAAATAGAAAAAAAAACTTTTTTTGCTGTGTCATTTTAAATAAAAAAAAGTTGTAATTATATTATAATCTTCTGAGCAACAGGAACAGACAGCAAAAAGAACGGTGACCCTTCCCTGTGCTATCCAAAACTAAAAAATGTTTTTTTTGGCTGGAGTTACACATAAAAAATTTACCTGTTCCGACTTACAAATTCAACTTAAGTACAAACCTAAAGTCCCTATCTTGTATGTAACCCAGTGACTGCCTGTATATGGAACAAATGTGTGTTAATACCAGTTCAAAGATAAAGATACAGAGAGCAGCAGATTTACACACAACCAAACAAAAAAAGTGTTACAAAAAGCAGGGCAATTGCTTACAGCAATTAATCAGATTTTTTATTACACATTTTACAAAGAATTGTATTGGTTGCCCCAGGTAACTTGCTTCACTTTCACTCTACTTGTCTTATCTCCAGTTTTTTTCTTAATCAGATGTATTCTTTTTAAGATCTTCTGTGTGTGAATCACATACATAAGTGTGACACCGTCTGGTAACAGCAAACAGTTAAAAAGCAACTCAACTTGAGCATAATGAACTATTAGTTATTTGGCAGTGTAATCAAAGGTGACATTTAGGTAAAGGGTATAAGTTAAAATAACTTAAATATTTTTTTTAGCTCCCCCTACACATCTTCTCAGATTACAGGCATGCGAGCAGAGGAAGCTATGCTAGCTGGTTAAAGAGCAGTGTAACCCATTGGCTGCTGGAGCATGTCACAAAAATCAAAACAAAAAACGTAACAGAAAACAGCAAAAACTATGCAGTGTAACTCTGTGAAGTTTATTAAACATTTCATGACTTCTGTAAGGATTTTGTATTTAATTGGCAACAAAAAACGTTTAGCTATAACTTGTCATGGCAATCTTTCTCAACCAGGATTCAGTGGAAACCTAGAGTTCCTCCAGAAGTTGGTAGAGGTTCCTTAAGCAATTTCTGTTTGTACAATAAGTAACCACTGACACCACTGATCCTTTTAGCTATCCGTAAGGAAGGGCACTCTCTTTCTGACAACCATTTAACCCCTTCATGACTGAGGCCCTTTTTTCATTTTTTGCACCCATGTTATATTCCACATTTTAGGCCTGAAAATGACGTAAAACCCCCCAACATTATATATTTTCTGAATGCCAAGACCCTATAGAATAAAATGGTGGTAGTTGAAAATGTTTATGTTGCGCAATATTAGCGCAACTCCTTATTAAACCCCAAAATTTAGTGACAAATTTAATTAAATGCCCCAAAACACAACAAATTACCAATTTTTTTAATGAAATATAAAAGATGAGGTTACAACGAGTAAAACGATACCCAACATGCCCAGATTACAAATTGCGTGCGACCGTGAAACGGCGAAAAACTGCAGTACCCCAAAAAGTCAATAAAAGACGCTTTAAAAGCTCCCACAGGTCATCAATTTAGAGATACCCCAAAATACTGGCCCTAGAATTATTGCTCTCACTCCGGCGTGCGCGGCGATACCCAACATGTGTAGCGCGTTCGTCGTTTTCATGCGTAGGCGCACCCGACGCGTGTTTACGTGGCGACGCGCGTGCTCGCGGGGGCGGGGTACTTTTAAAATTTTTTTTTTTTATTATTAGATTTATTTTATTTCATTTTAATTTTAAAAACTGTTTTTTTTTTTTTTTTTACTTTACTTTGACTGCTATCACATGGGGGGGCTTGCAAGCCCCCCCATGTAATAGCAGATGGTGGTGACAGGTCCTCTTTAAGGTGATGCTGGGGGTCCAAAAGACCCTCAGTGTCACCTTTACACTGGAAATAAGCTATTGAAGTGCAGATCGCACTTCAATAGCTTAGACCTGGTTAAAGAAGCATTTCTTCCACTGACCACCAATGTATGGGGAATTTTTTTCTACTGACCATAAATGTAAAGAGGCATTCTTCCTATAAATCACCAATGTAAGGGGCATATTTCCCACTGGCCACCAATGTAAGAGTCAATTTTCCCACTGGCTACCATTGTAAGGAGCATTCTTCCCCACTAACCACCAACCACTAATGTAAGAAGCATTCCAATGTTCATTCCACTGACCACCAATGTAAGAAGCTTTCTTCCCACTAGCCACCAATGTAAATAGCATTCTTCCCACTGACCACCGATGTAAAAAGCTTTCTGCCCACTAGCCACTGATGTAAGAAGCTTTCTTCCTACTGCCCACCAATGTAAGAAGCATTCTTCCCACTGACCACCAATATAAGAAGCATTCTTCCCACAGACTACCAATGTAAGAAGTTTCCTTCCTACTGATCGCCAGTCTAATATATCCCAAGTTGTAATAATAGTAATTGTTGTCAGGGGTTACCAGAGACCTGAAAGTTTGTTTCAAGGGTTCCTCCATGCCGTCAGTAAAGAAATGCAAAATCTCATTTTCTGACTTGCTTTCAAAAAGTGCAAGATTTTAGGCCGTCATTTATCCTTGTTTCACAATCACACAGATAACTATATCATGGAAATACATAAGTAAAGCAGGGCCATGGCATTTAGGAGAGCCATTTTACCTGCATTTGTAATTCTGTCGATCCACTACTGGGATAGGCTCATGCTTAAGAAAGAACAGAGCCAGGCTTGTTGACCTGACATTTCCTTACTACAGTTAAGCATTACAGCCAGGTCACCTCCCTTCCCATATTCTGTGATTGGCAGTAGCACCACTATAGGTCATCTCTCTGTTCACTATGCTCTCTCATTCTGCCAGAATGTTCCCTGCCAGTTCATATGCACTCAAAAATGCATTGAATAGCCTTTCACTAAACACAACTTAATTATTTTTTAGATCTCTCCATTTAGAAAGGAGAACGATGACAGTCCCAGAGCATGCACCTTAAAAACACTTGTTCCTTTTAAACACAAATCATTCCGTTAGGAAACCATAGGTTGCATATTTAGGAAAAGCTTTGCTCGGTTTTCTGTTACAGCAGGTCTATCTGCACTATACTTCATTTTCATGTAGGCAAGTGAAAATTTGTAGCAGACAGGGCCATAATTATTGATTCTCATCTAATGCACTCACCCTTGTGTTAGCACATCTCTAAATTGTTCTTTAATTGGACACTTGAATCCCAACCTTCTATGTGATACCAGTGTGGCTTGATTTCCGCAACATGCAAAAATATATTAACTGATGTAACCGGAAAGACAGTCCTGTTAAGCTGTAGCCAACTCTTTATTGTTGACAGCAGGTTGTTTTGTTTTTTTCCCCTGAATCATTTTCTACACGAGGTCATGTCTGTTCTGGGTTCAGACATGCATGATGAATACTATTGATTATTGATTGTACATGGGAGGTAAACTTGCTGGTAAACAGGGCAACATTAGGCAGCCATCAGCAGCCGGACTGACAGCAAATCATTTTACCAGTGGAGAGTTACTTAGCAGAGATGGGTGGGCTTATTGTACCTTAGGCAAACTCTGACAAGCATAGTTACAAAATTCATATATCACATATCTACGAGCATTTCAGTGGCTTATCAGTGCCGTCTGTACCATCATACATTCGTGGTCTTCACCTGGAGTACAACCCCAACCAAAAAGGTTTTTTTGGGGATAGAGTTGGGAGGAATACGAGAACCTCTGTCATGTTTTTACAGTCATATATTTTATTTTTTTATTAGCTGAAGAAAGAGGAGTTCGAAGATTGTGGGATTTTCATTGCTGTCGGCAGTCCTGCTAGGGAGACTACACATTTCCTTTTTTAGTGACAATGGTCACCAGGGCAGGAAGTATGCAGAAATTTTAGTGGAGACAAAGACAACAATAAAATCTCGAAACTTTCCACCTCCAATAATATTTCCAATAACCAAATGGATTGTTCTCATAAGAATACATTGTGCTCATATTACATAGTTTTTTAAATCTAAAGATGTAACCACACACACACTCACATTACAATCTGATGGTCGATCTAAAGTAGATTGTACAAACAAGGATTGCAAGGGCCTGTCTGACTGCATAGAAATTGACTGGATAGTAATGGTAGGTCCACATATTACATAATTTCAGTAGATCTAAAGTTGAACATATGGTGAGATTGTAGCATGTATGGTGAGCCTAAAGCTAGCCATACACTATATAGTCTGACTGTGCAATCTACTTAAGCTTTACCAAAACTATGTAACTGAGGACAAACCTCAAAAATCCATTCAATTAGCATCAACTCAGGCAGGCCCTTATATTAACTCTACCTTGATGGTAGATTTAAAGGAAAGATTGTACAATCCGATTGTATAGTGTATGGCAAGCCTAAGAGAGTTATAGAGAAATTGCATAATCCAAACTGTATAGGGTACGGTCAACCTAAAAGAGCATACAGAAATTGTACAGTCCAATTGTATATAGTGTATGGCCAACTTAAGAACAACAACACAAAAACTAGTGTAGACAAAGAGGACACAAAGAACAAACTCACATAAAAATAACTGTTAAATCTCACATACGGTAACAATGACTATAAATCATGTCAAAGCCAACTCAAACACCCAAACTACAGCATCATACACCATTATTAATCATCACTGACTGCCAGTCATCTTATTGGCTGGAATAGGTTACTGATCATTGCTGTTCTTTGAAGTGCATCACCATTCAACAGTTGGGGGCATTGTAAACTTCTACATGACACACACACAAAAAAAGAAGACCCAACAAGCATGCTCTTTCTCTTACCTTGTAAAGCCGCAGGGCCGCCTCGTGCCTGTGATTGGTGTTGTGTAATCGTAATTTATCCACGCTGTTGGTGTAGTAATCACAAGCATTGCACTTCAGATGCACCGGGTTGCCAATTGCGATGCACTTCAGCCTCCACTCATTGCTTTTGCCCCCTTCTTTGATATGAGCCACCAGTTGGTACTTTTGCATATGCTTATCAGTTTTGCAGTGGAGCTGGAAGTTGGCTTTCAGCTGAGTATTGTAGTTACAAAGCTTGCACTGGTAGATGTCTCCAATTACCGCTCTCCATTCCTCTTCAGGGAGAGACCGTTCACTGCTCACATGCACATTCAAGGCCTCCAGACTGTCAGTGGTGAATTTGTTGCAAACAGCACACTGGAAAAGCTTCAACCCTGGGTCACTGATATAAGGTGACAGCTCTCCTGCAGTAAGGAGGGACAGGTCATCACCCATTAGCTGACCACTGGCAAGCCGGATTTCAGGCGGCAGCTCATTATTTACTACGGAGAAAAGGGGGAAAATTGAAAAAAAAAAAAGGAACTTAAAGACCAGAAAGCAAAAGCACACACAATGGAATCCGTAAAATAAAGCCTCAACCAGGAATTTGCCTTCTCTGGAGCTTAAACTATAAAAAGCTGTAATAGGATTGAATCAGGATCAATTACAATCATCCCTTTCAACTTCTAAATTCCCTCATCAGATAGCTTTAATTACTCCTACTGGGCATGATGTCATTCAGGAATTTGAATTTTCAAAGGCAGCAAAGGTGATCAATAATTTTAACAAAACAGGAATGCTCTATAAGGTCCTCTAATTCATTTACAAAAGACTAATTGTAGTTTCCCTTTGTAATCTACCTTTCTAAACACTCTATAAAAGGATTTCTACAAACGTCACCACAAATCCTGACCAGTAATCACAATGACAGCATAAGTTACATAGCAATTATTACCTAACACATTAATTGTACCAGTAAAACACGGATGATGATAACCAAGTAAGACATTAAAACTAAAACAGCCAGGAAACTTCCAAAATTGGTCAATCCACCCAAAACTTCAATGGTAAAATCGCTGTTCTTTGAGGTCCTTCCTAAAGCAGCCATTGCAAAGAGATATCGCTGTTACCACTGAAGCAGGAATAAGACTTCAAGATGTTACAGATGGGAGACTACACCCCAAGGAGTATTCATATAACAAACAAAAATAACCAATATGTACATTGGCTAAGAAGTCAGAATCTACCTACAACTAAAAATGACAGTACAGGGTGGAATGACCCTTTAGAATCATAGATCCATAAGAACAGTCTAACTCTAACAACTAGTGCGAAGTTTTATCAACAAGCAGTTTAACAAAATGCAAGGACCTTAAATAAATAATGGAGCTATTAAACTGTCCACGGAGCTCAAGTTTGGGCATCCTCATCATTTACAGTGCATTAGGTTTTCTCCCTGGTTAGCACTTAACTAGCCTGGGCAGCAAAATAAGACTTAATGTCAAAGGTGATCATAGGAAAGCGAAGGTGTTTTTACCAGAAAAGATGGCAAACTTATTTCATATGTATAGCCTGATTTGGCAGATCACAGTGTTTGGCCCTACAGTCAAACTGGATCATGAAGGGATACAATAGAAGTCATAATTTCATGACTGTAGACCTTGGCAGAACTAATCAATGTACGTATTAATTTTGGGCCATTGGAGCGGACCTCCCACCCAATCTATACTATTGGTAGAATGGGCTGTTAAAAACCTGATTGAACCCATTATCATCCTGAGTAAGGGTAACATAAGAGTACATGAAAACCAGAAGACTACACCATCAGCTGCATCTTGATGTCCATATCAGAGTGTTAAAACTAAATATTGTTCAGCATTATATACAATAATAAACATGAAGGCTAATAAAAGAAATCAGATGAACAAGTACATCTTTGATGCATAGGTTTTAACGTCTATACATATCATAAAGCAGTCTAGAAGTCATATAAACAAATCATTTCATCAGCTACGAGTCCACAGAGACACCGTAAGCTCTATGGGAGAGATTCTCAACCGCATGCACTTCCAAGAATAATTTTTATTTGTTAAACAGATACTATAGTTAATATATAGTAAAATATATAGAATAGTCTAAACAAAATATTATATCAAAATAAATTGAATCAGCTATTTAAAAATATTATGAATCACTTAACATAAATACAACTAAGGGGCACATGAAATTAATTGGGGTGTGTGGTAAATATTTGCTTTAAAGAAGAGCAGAAGACGATGCAGTTACCAAGGCATTACCAACAGAAACATATTTTCCTGAAATTAAAAATTCATCTATAAGAGAAATGCAAACTTTCAGAACTAATGCAAGTTAAAGAGGCTACACAGCCTTATCACAATTTTAAATTCAGTAGGAGTATACGTATATTTATAAACACTATTCATATTTGCTAACATGTTTTCAGCTTACCTATCTTTACAGGTATTTCATACTTTTAATTTAAAAAAAAACCTGTTAAATCTCTAAGAATAATGTCATTGCTGAGGCATAAGTTCTATAGTGGCTTATGCCTCAGTATTGAGAAACTGAATATTGTCTCTGCTCAGAAACTGAAATACTACACTGCAGGTATACTTCAGCTCTAACTATATCATACAACATTATGAATTATACATTGAAAGGAAATGCCTAAGGTGCATAAATACTGACCAAGTCCTGGAGCCAGTGCTGCAGCTGTGGCAGGGTCAAGCTGGAATGGGTTTATCATCATCTGAGGGTCAGCTGGGGCTTCCAGTTTCATCCCAGTCAGGCCTATATTTTG